ATCCCAAGATGAATGCAACTTATTGTTTCCTAATTTTATTTGCGTGCATCATTAAAGACTTGATATTAGTAACCAGAATAGCCACATTAGCTTAAATCACTGCAGCAACGTCTTGCATGCTTTGAATATACCGGCGGATCTTTTCCTTGATTTCTGGGGTTTTATGCCATACATTCATCAGTTGTTCAATTACTTCAACTTTGTTAGTACAATCTATATGGCTTATCTTGTCTTTCATGTCTTCCCATAAACATTAAATAGGATTCAAATCTGGACTGTTTCTAGGCCAATCAAGCACTCTGATACCATGATCATCCAAACGGGTTCTAACACTTTTGTCTGTGTGGTAGGGAGCTCCATCACGCATAAAAATGCAGTCATTATCCGGGAACCACTCAAGAGGTTGGGGCAGAAGACGTCTACCAATGACGTCACGATATCCGACTTGATGTAGATTATCTTTTACAATCTTTAATTTTCCTGTACCCATTTCAGAGATCACAGACCACACCACCACCTTGGTAGGGAATCTTACGTATGCTCTCGGGCAGTCAGGGTGGCCCTTTTAACAAATATTCGTCTGTCCATCAGTATTTCTAGCATCAAACCTGCAAATAGAAATAACAATAAAAGTTACGAGATGACTGAAGTGTTCAGATGAAACACTCTTGAACTCGATCTTCAATGTGACTTTTTTCTGATCTCACTTTTGAACCAAACATTTTTTTAACATTATATTAGAAGTAATGTTTTGTAACTAAGTTTTTTTTTCTAAAATACATGTGTTTCACTAAATTATGTTTGAATCTCAAGGACAGTGTTAAATGCTATGTGTTAGTTGTATCCCAACTTCAGAGGAACGAGGGAACGCTAGCAAAACCTCCAACTACCGGGAATTTGGCATGCTATCACCTTTTTAGTTAATTTAGTAAAATTCTGAATACTGCCAGAGAATATTCTACCCAAAACTATAAGCAGGTATTATCCTTTTCATTGTATTTATTGTATAAAACCCAAAGAGAGATGAAGAGCACAATGTCCGTAGCAGGTCTCAATAATCATATTAATACCGTGTATGTAGATATATATATATATATATATATATATATATATATATATATATATATATATATATATACATATACATACATATACGTATATAAATATATATACATATATATATACATATACATATATATACACATATACATATATATAATATATACATGTGTGTATGTGTATGTGCACACACACACACACACACACACACACACATATATATATATAAACTCATACACATACTATGTGTATATATATATATAAATATATATATATATATATATATATATATATATATATATATATATATATATATATTGTTGATGGTATGATTTTCAGATGTTTAAGCTACTACAAAAAATACTCGCCTTTTGCCTTAGTATTTTACTCTTTGGCACTCTGTCGTACATTTAAGCTATGCATAATAGAATGGATAGCTAACACATACTGCATACATATTATACAACTATATCAATTGCTCTTCATTTAGCTACATTAACTATTTAGTTAAGAACAGGGTCTGGTTCGCTGAAGCATGTCTCCCCACCACGTTTCGACCACAAGTGTAAACAAGGTGTAAATAAGTTTGTGGCGATTCTAGATAATCTCCTAAGACTTTTCAGCACTCATGTAACACGTTTCCATGTCATTTAAGAAGATACTAGTGACACACGTGTAATTTACGCCATTAATGCATGTCGAGTTTTATATAACGTTCCTATGTATAACTTCTGCAGCATAGAACATCGTTTTTTTTCAGATATTTTCTCCATTTTATCGTACATCTAATTAATCAAACAACTGCTATTCAGTCTAACATGTAAGTTTAAAAGCCCAGTGTCTCAAGGGTAAAAATGTGTTTAGGTTATATTCATCGAGACATGTGGGTAGAGAATAGTTGCATTATTGCTGTGTAAAATACCTTTTTCAACCGAGGATCCCAGTCTTTGTACAAACGGGTAGACTATGGTTTTTGTCCTAATGAAAAGTCATTGAATGTAAGTGATTTGAATACCAATCAAAAACGGGGTTCGAGCAGCATGAAGCATATCAACCTGCGTATTTTACTTCAACTCGCTTCGTTATTATGATGTTGCAAAACTCCCCACACTTGAGAACATAATCTTCAGCCACGCGTAAATGACTTGGAATTTTATAATGCGCAGTATTCTTATTCACGTGGCGGACACCACATCTCGACTGTCTGTGGGATATAACTCATCAGACATTTTTCCTTATTATTATTACGTATAGGCTTACGGCTTTAGGCTTAGGCAAAATCACCCATGGAGATATGGGGCACTTGGCAAATGAGGTAGATAAGCCTCTTGGTATGCTGTAATCAGATTCATAATTACATAATTAAACAAGTACATTATAAAGTCTGATATTTACAGTATATACGGGAGTATATGTTAAATTCATATGTACTAATATATGT